AGCTTCACTGGAGAGAAACTCAACTGGACGCTTTAATTCAGCCTGAAAACAACTACAAGTTCTGTCAAATGACACACTTACATCATCACATGTAAACACAGTAAACAAAATGATGAAAATGTAGAACTTTTAAAAGGTTTTAATGCTGTATATGGAGTAGTGAGAGCGCCAAATTACAAAAATAAATCAATAAAAGAATAATAAAATAAAAGTGGAAAAAAAGGAAAAATAAGTAAAATAAAAAATATGTAATGTGGCAATATAAAGCAATATTAATCAAAAATGAATGCATAAAAGAAAAGGCTAAAAAAGTAGAAATATAAAGACAAATAAACAAAATAATAAAAAAAAATATTTTTACATTTTTATTTATTTATTTTTATTTATTTTTAATTTTTGTTTATTTTTATAATGTCGCTTTAAAAGCAAAGGAAATATAATAATAAAATGTGCACAGTAGGAATGGCGTAAAAATAAAAAAAAAATTTTAAAAAAGAATAAGAAAAATATATTTTTACTTACTTATTTACTTTTATTAGCCTTTTCTTTTATGGATTCATTTTTATTTTATTTTATTTATTCTTCTTTTTATTTCCACTTTTATTTTATTATTCTTTTATTGATTTATTTTTGTAATTTGACACTCTCACTATTCCATAGTTTACACTTATTAATAAATACAATGAAACTGCTTTAGTAAAAATCAAAAAAAAAAAAAAAAAAAAAATTTTTGCATTGTAATGTCTTGTTGCAGTCAATGCTATAACTATAAGTATAAATATATATGCTTGGCTGCCACAATACTTCCAGATTACAGAGAGAAAACATTTTGTCAGATAAAAATGTACGTAAACACAAGTTACAAGACAGCATATAATAAAATAATGTGGTTTAGTGCCCTGATTTTCATTTTATGGCACTGCGTTTCTGAAGCACTTTGCACCTCTGTTTATAAACAAAGTTGATGAACTTTTATGAAGTTATTACTGCCTACAGGTTAAAACTGAAAGAACAAGGTAGAAGATCAGTCTGAAGTTTGGGAGCATTTGGAAAAATGTTTGATCATCTCTGTTTTAAACACATAAATTCAGTTGAAACAAAAAATGCATTTAGAGCTCAGTGATGATCAACTTACAGTCTGTGGGTGAAATCAGGTCTTTGATAAGGTAACGGATGACGACAGTTTTTAAATTGGCAATGAAAACAAATTTGATTCACACTGGGATATTTTTTTCTTTATGTAGCAATTGTGGTAAAATATCAAATGTATCTGCCGTATAGAGCTATAATGTCAGCATTTGTACTGGCTTGATTTAGTTCATAAGCCAACAGTGGGGGTCTTTAGGTCTTTTATTGTCATTTTGTCTTTTGTTTGTTTGTTAACTGGCCCCTGGAATCCTGTCCTTTTTACAAAAGTGATTGCAGGGTAAAGCAAATTTGTTATCTCTGGCATAACCCCATGGGATCATAGGATCACAAATAAGCACGACAGTTTGCTATTAACACCAAAACACCTTGCCAAAGTAAACAAAGAAGCTCCACTAATCTAAAGGCAATAACAACTATAAAATGTCTTTAAGTGAACGTACGTAAGCCTAAATGAGCGTTGATAGTCAAATTAAAAT